TAAATATCCATAAAGTATAAAGAATTCATACAACTCAATAGCCAAAAAAACTCAAAAAACAAAAAAACAAAACAACGCCCTCCAAAAAACCCCAAACCGAAACACCAAATAATCTAATTAAAAGATGAGTAAAAGATCTGAATAGACATTTTCCAAAGAAGATATATAAAAGGCCAACAGGTACATCAAAAGATGCTCAACATCACTGGTCATTAGGGAAATGCAAATTAAAACCACAATGTGATACCACCTTTGCATGTTAAAGTGGCCATCACAAAAAGAGATAGTAAGAGATAAATACTGGTGAGTATGTGGGGAAAAGGGAACACTTGTGCACTGTTGGTGAGATTGTAAACTGGTACAGCCACAAGGAAAACGGTATGGAGGATCCTCAAAATATTACAAATAGAAGTACTATGTGATCCAGCCATTACACTTCTGGGAATATATCCAAAATGAAAACACTAACTCAGAAAGGTATCTGCACCCACATGTTCATAACTGCATTATTTACAATAGCCAAAACATGTAAACAACTTAAGTGCCTGTTCACAGATGTATGGATAAAGAAGCTGCAGTATATATATAATATAATACTGTTCAGCCATTAAAAAATGAGGGAATCTTGCCATTTATAACAACATGGATGGACCTTGAGGGCTTTATGCTAAGTGAAGTAAGTCAGACAAAGAAAGGAAAATACTGTATGATCTCACTTAAATGTGGAATCTTAGAAAAACAAATCACAGGAAAAGATCACATTTGTGGTTAACAGAGGTAGGAGGGTGGTTGTTAGGGAAGGATGAATTGGAGGAAGGTGGTCAAAAGGTACAAACTTTCAGTTTCAAGATAAATAAGTATTCGGGATATAACACACAGCATGATAACTATAGTTAACATTCCTGTATGATATATAGAAAAGTTAAGAGGGTAAATCCTAAAAGTTCTCATCACAAGGAAAAAATGTTTTTCTTTGTTTGCTTCCTCTTTTTATTTTATCTATATGTGATGATGAATGCTAACTAAACATTATTATCACAATATAAGCAAAACCATTATGCTGCATAACTTAAACTTATACAGTGATGTAAGTCAATTATATCTCAATAAAACTGGAAGAAAAAAAAAAGGGAGAGCCCCCTGAGCAGAAGCCTTTCTTAAGACAGATCTCCTAAGAAGGCATTAATGAATCTCTGGGTACAATCATATAATAAAGACCGATAATCCATGCCAAAATGTGCTATTTCCTTTTCATTCTGTGAGAAGGAAAAGGGAAGAAAGGCACATAGATATTTTAACTGTACAAAGTGGAAGAAACAAAGACTTTGAAACCACACAGAACCTGGTTTCAAATGTCATTCCATTACTTCCTAATTGATCTTGGAGAAGTTACTTAACCTCTTTGTACTTTGATTTCTCTCATGAAAATCCAGACAAAAATATCTAAATGTTGTGAGAATTAACTGACATACAATTTAGCATAATAAATAACATATAGAATCATTCTATATATATTGCTTTATAAGAGCTATCTTTGTGCTATATGGACCACAGAGAAGCTACAGACTACTGTTAGATTTCTCTAGAGAGAAACTCTACAGAGAATTAAAATACTTACTGCATTTTTCATTTCCCCCTTTACATTTATATTGCAAAGAGACAATATAAAGCAGTCTAGCTATAACCACAGTCTTCTAATATTTGTAAGTGCTGTAAAATTAGCTCCCCCTTGAGTATAGCCACTTACAATAATGCTGACTTCTTTGAACAGCATTACCATTTCCCAGTAATTCATGCTTGAAACTCTAGTCATTAAAAAAAATTTTTTTTTCAACTGAAGTAGAGTCATTTTTGACAACCACTTCTCCCTCACCACCACATTCTGATCTTACTTCCTCATTGTTCTCAAAATCTGTCTCCATTCATCTCCACTTCTGGGGTCACCACCCTAGTTCAGGCCTCCAGTTTGGTTTTCTTGCCTCAGGTCTCTTTTCTCCACCAAATTCTTTTCATCTATAGTTGCCCAAAAAATGTTAAGCAAATAATGCTTTGATTTTAAGCCTGTTTCACCCCATCACCTCTGCCTCTGCTGAAACATCTCTGATAGCCCCCCACTGCTTATCAAATGAACCCTAGGCATTCAACACCTCCACGAGATGACCCTATACCGCCTTTCTGGCCTTGTCTTTAATTACTCTGCTATCTGCATCCTCCTTGCTTTTCCTTAAGCAAGGAGAAATGCTTTCTTACCTCCATAAATCTACTATTATTTCTTACATTTTGAAAAACTACACTTTCATTTCACCTATTCAAATCATGTCATCCTGTAAGGCCAAAAGCAAATGCCATATCTCTAACAAAGGAAAGAGTAGATCTGCAGAACATTCTTTTTAAAAGTAATAAACTTACTTAATTCAATAGTAAATTAATCAATAAATATATAAATGAAATAAAATTCTACCCTGAAGAGCTACGTTGGTTCCTGGGAACAAGATCAAGAATTAAAATGGAATCATTACAAGATTATGTGGGGTTTTATTAGGTAGATAAAAATAGAGGCAAGAAATATTTACTTTGGCAAAAAGAATGGAGGGTAAGAAATGGGGAACATTTACAATGCTCCTTCTGTTTCCAATTACATATGTGTATGAGGCTGGATTTTCTTCATTTATTTCAACCAAAACAACATATCAGAACAGACTGAATATACACGTAGATATAAGCATTGAACTGTCCTCTATTAAACCAGATATTAAAGAGATTTGCAAAAATGTAAAACCAATGTCACTCTTCTCACTAAATGATTTTGGAAAATACAGTTAATTTTCATGAAATACATATGATTTATGTTAAACTATGTAACTGCTATAGACATTCCAGTTCAAAAAGGGGGAAAGTGGAAAGTGAAAAAGAGTCCCTAGGCCATAACTGTTTTGAAATACAACTAAGTGAATGTTGAGAGTTCCTTGATTAGATTCTTTGGCTTGAAAATAAGCCTCCATGGCTTTTGGTTCTGTCCTCTGGGTTCTTGGGTCAGCCCTCTGAGTCATCCTTTTCCATGCAAGACGGCACGTGTTCACAAATAAGTATGAGCAGGTTTATCAGCTTACTTCCTGCCAGTAAAATTTAGGGGATCTGATAGCTTCCTTTTGTTTTTTCCTCTCCCTGTCCTCATTCCAAGCTGACAGTGTTTCTGATGAAATACATTTCTCAAGAACTTTGTGGGTCTCTATGTATTTCAGTGAGGTTCACTCCTTTAGACAGAAACAACACAATCCACAGATTGTTTCAAAATACTTCTCTATCTTTGGCTCTGGCTGAGAGTCTAAGACTGAGAGATACAACCCTTAAACTTCTTACAGGTCCAGTGATTTGACTGAGAGGATCTGAGGCACATCCTTTGTCTCTTGAAATGGCCCTTTGTGTGACTAAACACCCTGACCTTTTGATCTCTTTGAGGTTTTAACAAAAGATTGTAAAGTTACTCCCTGGGCATATTTCTCTAGAGCAGGCTTTCCTGACAATGTTCAAAAGCCATCTCCTAGCGTTAATATTTTTTACCATGTGGGGTAAAAAACAGTTTAACAGTTTTCCTCTTAAACTGTTTCTCTCTCTCTCTCTCTCTTTTTTTCATTTTGCTCTGTGTATTAAGAATAAACCAGTGTCAACCTTCAACACTTTGCTTGGAAATCAGCTTAACTATATAGTGAAGTTCATCACTTACAAGTTTAGCTTTCAACATAACTGTAGGAGATAATTTCACTAAATTTTTGTTACTGTGTAACAAGGATTCTCCTTCTTCTAGCTTCCAATAACATGTTCCTCCCATCCTTCTGAGCCCTTCATAGCAAGGTCCTCAGTATCCATATTTCTACTGATAGTCATGGTGATTAAATTTCTCTATGATGCTCTTCAATATTCTTCCAGCCTCCACCCATCACTCAGTTCCAAAACCGCAGACACATTTTTAGGTATTCGTTACAACAACACCCCATTCCTAGGTAGCAAAAATCTGTATTAGTTTTCTATTTCTGTGTAATAAAGTCCATAAATTTATCAGCTTAAAACAATACATACTTATTATCTCTGTTTCTGTGGGTCAAGAGTTCAGGCACAGCTTAGTTGGAGTTTCCACTTTTGGGTGTCCCATTGAGTGTGTTTGCTGGGTTGTGTTCCCATCTGCAAACTCTATCTGCTTCCAGACTCTGAACTTGCTGGCAGAATTCATTTCTTTGCAGTTGCAGGACTAAGAGATTCAGCAGTTTTTTGCTGACTATCAGCCAGAGGCTGTCTCCCATTTCTAGAGGCCATCTGAGGTCCCTGTCACATGGTTCTCTCCATAGGCAGTTTACAACATAGTAGCTTGCTTCTTGAAAGACAGCAGCAAAGTGAGAAAGAGCAATTCTGCTAGCAAGATGGATTCTTACACAGTGTAACATAATGATGGGAGTGATGGATCCCATAGCATCTGCCATATAATGTAATATAATTATGGGAGTATCATCCTACCACTTTTGCCATATTCTCTTGGAAGCAATTCACAGATTCCACCTACATTTAGGATCAGGAGCTTAAAAAAGGGCATTAATACTACAAGGCAGGGATCACTGTTAGTTACCTTAGGGTATATCTGCCACACTGAACAATGGGGGATGGGAACTAGTGGATAAATGCTCTTTTCTTCTTCATTCAGGCAGGTAATTCTAGATGAATTCTGCACAATTTTTCAAAGATCTAGAAAAATGAACCCTTGTTGCTTATAGCAATGTCTAGATTGATAATGTTGTTTTGAATTAGCTTTCCTTCCTTTCATGCTTTAGTTTCCCAGTTCTTCACTCTTATTCACTGGGATCTCTTTCCACCATCAACTACTTGTATGTAAGTTATTGTCTTAGACTCTAATTTCTGGGAGAAATCCAGGCTAAGACAGAAGGAGTGAATAAACCTGTATAGATGGTACATTACAAAATCAGTAGACAGTAAGTAGATTCTCCTTCCCACAGAAGAATGATGATCCTCCCCCACCTCCCATAAAATTTCTCTGAACTATCTTTAATGAAGCAATGCTAAGATTTCATGAAAGAAAGCAAAGGAAGCAAAGGAAAGTTTTCCAAGATACAGCATCTAAACTCTGTCTGCCACAAAGCCAGAACTTACCCTGGATGCTAGATTGGGCTAGGCTGGCAAGCAGAGCTTAATTATTTTCTCTTGTAGAGAGAGAGCTCTATCAAGTATGAACTTGGCAAAGCTTAACAGCTCAAAAGAATGACAGAAGTATTTGAATATAGAGAAGAAAACTATTAAAGAATATTTATCACTGCAAAAAAGCACTAGTTCTCTTTATTTATTTCTGTTTTCATGGTGCCTATCATCTGAGCGGTGACTATCATTCACTCTACTTTGGCCAAGTTATTGGTCAAATCAATGATTGTCAGATCATATGCTTGGGGAGAGTATGGACAGAACTACAAAGATAGGGAAACATGAACTTGAGGAAAGTTGTGAGGAAGAAAAACCAGGGAGGCACTTATGAAAAGGATCTGAGTCAGAGTCATATGGACACCATGTCTAGCACAGGGAATGATTATAATCTT